TGGAGTGAAGATTTGCGCAAGATGGCTGGCAGGAGCTGGATGCAAAAAGCCCAAAATCGATCTAAGTGGCGTGCAATGGGAGAAGCCTATGTCCAGCAGTGGACAGTAATAGGCAGATGATGATGATGATTACTTCTCTTGAGTGTGGTATAGTAGTACTATTGAGTGTGACGAGTATGGTTGATTTTGACAGTAAAATAAAAAATAAAATGCTGAATAAAGAAGTGCTTTTAATAGATTGGCGTAGTTACACCTTTTTAGGAGATTGTTTAGAGTTCTTTGTTCATTAGCTATGCCTCTTAAAAGGGATAATATTTTACTGCCGTTGTAACAGTACAAATGTCACTTTAGAAAGTTCTACAAGAGGAATGTAAATTAATAATAATAATAACCTACGACACACACGGCCTTCTGATTCCAAACTAGGCAGAGCCTTGAGGCAGGCTGCTGATAAACGCATATATATTTCTAAATACATAATATAGATAAAATGAATTAAAAATGCAAACAAATAACGTCAATGTTTTAAATTAATTTTAAACGCAATTGTTGAGCTATAATATATACGAGTAGATACACTACCGATACAGACATATAAGTATGCAAAGTTAAAAAAACATGTCAGTAAGTAACTTCTGTAAGATATTTCGATTAATGTGGCATTCATTTTATTGTTCAGATATTATCTACAGATTTTACAGCAGTGTAAAGGTACATCTAATGTACGTTGTGAACAACTTGTCTACCTTTGTCACTCTTTTTACAGAAAAACAAACTTTTACAGACATATTACAAATCAAAGCTTTAAAGTTTCAAACATTTGTTACAGTTACAATTAGGAGTACACATTACATCTACATGAATTTTTAAAAGTCATACGATGTAAGCTGTGTTGGTAAGACTCAGGTACAAAGTTAATCTGAGCTTTGCTTTACTTGATAATGATGTATTAAATAAACATAAACTCAAAAGCTCGGTGAAATGTTGTTCAAATATTACCACGAGGCTGTAATTATGTCCCACTGTTTGTATCACCCTTTATTGCTTCCTGCAGTTGACGTCAAATCAGGGGTTCGATCAAAGTGAGTGCTTTTAATAAACCCGCCGGACGCATACCTGCAATGTCTATTTAACATTGACCCCTCGTTATCAACCTTTCGGCACATTATTAAATACCTATGTAAGGCATAATACATCGCGATAAGGATTAATTTACAATGACTGGCAGTCGCTTTTTTGTCGTGTATAGTTTCATTTAATTTGGTGTAGTTATATTTTCGATTTGGTATTTAATAATCCGATGTTGATGTCCATTGGTGGAATTTTTGGATGTTAATTATGTAGAAATTTTGGTGGAAATATTTACATAAAAGTAGAATAATAAACTGTTTTGCTGTCGGAATGCGGTACGGCATGAACCGACTGTAAAAATTAATGTACATAAAAATCTATATATTAATCTGTGCAGACAGTTCTTTGTGTGTAAATAAAAAAAAATACATCATAAAGCTACAAGTGTTCTAATAAATTCGTAAGCTCATACAATGCCAGTTCAGGTAATATTGACTAATGAATTATGGTTGAAATTCGGCGATCTCTAGTTATAATAATAGTCTTATAATCACCTGTGAAAACAATGACTTTTATATTTCTCTGAAACAAATTCACAAAGGAAATCCATTTACATGATATAAGGTGAAGAACGGTTTTTTAAACAAATATGAAAGCATAAATATTTTATTTGGAATACTTGTTGTTAAAATGTACTTGTGTTATATCTAAAATGTTTTAATTTTAGTTGTTCTTAAAACATATAATTGTAGCATTTCTATAGTATACTATACCTGCTACAATTATATGTTTGTACCTCTAATCGTACATAAGTCAACATCCAATTTGTTATTATAATAAAACAATCAATGAAAGTGATTGCAATTTGACCGCCATCCATGCGTAAATATAAATATTTTTCTACATATTATGAAATAGTAACTATTGACAACAAATCATTACACATTATTGACAAATTGGTAGATTTAAGATTCAATACATATTAGCTACTGTCTAGTGATGGGTGCAAATCAATTAGCGCCTATGTTCTTTCTATGTGCATCTGTCCGTGTAGTTCATCCTTCAAAACTAAGATTTTAGATAAAATTCAATGAATTATATCATGTCACTTAAAATCTGAATCAGACTTATAAGAATAAATTATTCTTATAAATCTATTATTTAGTAACACAACAACATTACGATCTCATTGGAAAGTTCCCAAACTTATTCAAATAGGGTTGCGATGTAATGCGAAATGTTATAGAATCTAGTTGCGATAAAACTGGTTAGGCGAACTAGAGTCCTTTAGAATTAATGTGTCTATGGGGCGAGATGAGAACAGGCGGGAACAAGTAAGAACAGGTGGACGTACAATGTGCGACGGGATTCGCAAGTTCGCCCCGTACCAAGGTATTCGAGGCAAACCATTACAATCTAATGGAATTTATATTGTGATTGTTTGATTATTTCTCTTAGGTTGACAAGAACAACTTGCTTCGAATATTACAACAAGTATTTTGATAACACTTCAAAGTAGTGACATTAAAAAATAATAGATCAATATAAAATAAAAAAGAAGCTTTAAAACTAATTCAATACTATAAAAAATACATAAAATCTTAAGAAAATTGTATGGCCTTGAGAAAGTGTTACAACACTTCTTAAGCTTTTTTGTTAGTAACGTTAAATACTAAGTAAAAAAGAAACAAATAAACATAATAACAAAATTAGAAGATTTCTATTAAATTAGAACCCAAAAGTGATATTTTAAATAACAAACGTGAATCGTTTTATCTAATATATCGCACTTAAATCATGGTAGAGGGTTGGTCCGCGACCACATCTGAATTATTAAACCGTTACAAAGGTTGATGAATGGTCAATTTAATTCACTGGGCGATATTCACTGGATGTTTCGCACTGGACCGATCCGCGACCTATCGCTATTTACATAAGAATCCGCAGCGCCCTCTTTCCCACGATCTCATTATATTGTTTTCTCTACTAGAAGTTATACAAGAACATTTTATAAAATAGAATAATAATAGTCAATTATACCTAATATTGAAGACGTTTTGAGGTTTAATTTTATTACTGTTGTTAAATATTTTGTTTTGTGAACTTCTAATAATGTTTGTGCGACTGTTTATCGCTCGGCTGTTTTATAAAAGGAAAAACGTGTTTTGTGAGTGTTATGATGATAGGCGTTTTGTTGAATAAAATATAAAGTAATTTGCTCGACGTAAGTACGATGGAGTTTTGTTGTTGATGAACGAACCTTAAATATGTTGTGAGAGTAATGTGTTCTTTTTATAAAACCAGCATTATATCTAATGCATTATAAAAATATTTTTAAAGAGCTGACCTTTAAAACTGTAAAAACCAACAATAAAACCAACCATAATATTTAAAATACAAGCCAAAGAAAGGCCAACTAGTTAATTCATCACATCACATCACCAGCCTTCAATAGTCCACTGGCACTATCCACACCTTAGAAAGGAGGTTTTGACCTAATATACCATACTGGCCAGTTGGTATAGGGTTTGTGTCAAGTTTTCCTTCTCTTTGCAGTGCTGTTGTCCTGCTTAATTTGCAGTATCTCGATGATGCATTACTAGTTTAAGTCAAGTCGAGCTCTTATTTCCAGAAGTAATGTGACCTGAGGAGACTGTTAAGCGAAACGACTAACACTTGAAACATTAAGAGAAACTGAAGGATATATATATACCTTAAAAAGATTGATAATACTTAATATAAACTGATGGTATATATTTCATAAATAATTATTACATTAGCACAAATTAGTAAAAGATAGTACTTAGTTTATTGTTAAAGACATTTAAGTAATTGGGCAATTCAAACGATGAAATAGTCTAGGCTAGTTTATTCTAACCATGGTCAATCAAAAGTGTACTTAATCACTACATTTTACATTGATTGTTTTCAATTACTAGTTTTTGCGGTGCCGTAATGGATATTATTAACTTTTGATCTTAAACGGTTAAGTGATCCAGGACTGAGACTAGTTAAGCACCAAATATATATCATATGGAGTATAGAATACTGGTGACAGGAGCTTAACAAGCAGTTTAGGACCGAACAAAAACAAGGTCTTTAAAGTTCAAGACAAACGGCTAAATACAAATGGTTTATCGTAGGAACATACAGTGTATGTGTAATACTTTGTGCATATGTGTGTGTGTGTGTGTGCGTGTGTGTGGTCGTAGATAAATGTGTGCGGTCCTTACTTAACGATACACAATATACAACGTAGCTGAAATGTTCTAAAGTCCAACATGTTAGGATTTACTGCTGCGTTGGCTACGAAACTACTACGGAGTTTGCGGTTGGCTACGAAGTGTAGCACTTGTATTGTTTTATTCTACGGCGTAGCATGTGTTGTTTAAGTGCAGAAGTGTAACAGTTCTACGAGTACAAGGCAGATTATGACACAATATGAAAGTATTCTTTTGGTGTAAGTTCTTCGTATAAGTGTCTTTATGTGAGTTTAAACAACACGTAAATGGAACTACTGTCAATACAATTTTATAATGAATCCATAACGACTTTTCTGATCGCTGTTAAATTTATGGCACACTACTGTAAAACTAACAAAAAAGAATGAAAATAATTTTTAAAACGTAACGGCTTTATACGCAGTATTTAGTCTGTGAGTCTTCATTCAGAATTTATCTTTGGCCCCTATACAAGAGAATTTAAACACAAAGTATCACGATATTAAATAAATCGTTTCTAGAAACAGAATTGGGCGAATAATTCATAGCAGTTAATACACAAACCACTACTCCCTTTCTTTGATCATTTTAAGAAGTATTCCTGCTTTTTAAATATTCACACAACAAAAATATACATTATATTGAATAAGCAGTAGGCAGTCTTTCAATTACACTGATAAACAATGGGTATTAATATTATTATCTTACTGTGCAAGCCTTCGGCCGTGAGGTGCTCGCCTTGGCCTTGGGGCGCGCTGGAGGCGTCGGAGGCGCGGGCGGTGTACCCGGCGGGCTCGAGTCGGTGTTCGAAGATGAAATGCTCGACTTCTCCGACCCCGAATTGCTCGACTGCGACATGTGAAAAAAGTTTAAAACTGTAATTACTGCGGTAATATTTTATTGTGTTTGTGAGTGTGTTGTTGCGTTAATGCGCCTTACTTATAAGCTCTAAATGTTTGTTTTGTATATTTTTACCAGACAAAATGTTAAGGGTACTTTTTAGATATTTTATTACGAATAAATTAATGACTTAAGAATTAAAGACAGGCTCTCGAATCTCGATTATTGTAATTAATTTATATGTCTACTAGTGGTAGTACTAGTTTTTATCAATTTCTAGAAAAGTTAAGTAAAAGTAGTAGTACCTTTAGTCAGTCAGTTCAGTCCTTTTTTGTTAGGATCTTTTTATTCTCTAAAACGTCTAAATTTCATATTTCAGTTTAGGGTTGTTAAGAAATCTAGATGCATTGCTGTTTTGCAACCGAAGTTAAATCTAAATGTGTATGTCTAAAATGTAATGAATGTATTTAAGAATTCTATTTTCTTTCTTTATCGAAAATCTTTAAATGTACCCTATTACTTCTAGGTGTTCATGGGCGTGCGATAGTCACTTACCATCAGGTGAGCTGTCTGCTCGTCTGCCCCCTGTTACGTGAACAGATGAGGCCTTTATCTTAATGTTTTAATAGTGTTACACAATTCAGGTGTGAAATAACATTAGGGCCCATCGCGAGTGACAGATGAGAAACAATCCATCAACGTCTTGGAGCGAGAGGTGATATTTCCGTGATTATTATTGTAGGATATTGCATTACACAGGTGTGGTATTCTGCTGGAAATTGTGAGTATATTGTGGCAAATACAAACAATTGTAGCAAACTTTAAACATGTTTACTTACGTAAGGTATATTTTTGTTTTAAATCTAGGACCTTTATAGAGTGGATTATTTGTAAAACTTTGTAGTGTTATTTATTTATATACTCACTTTGTTTAAGCAAGTTATGTTTAAATTATTGAAACCTTTTAATAGTGCACTTTCAATATAGATTTTAGCCTAATAAGTTAATTAATAAAGGCGTTTTAAGTTTGAACTTAACACGGCGAGGCAGCTGGAAAGCCGCCAGACATTCAAGTATAAAAAGCTAGATGAATGAGGGTACCTAGCTTTGTAGCTAAAAACTAGATGTGACAGCATAGTAACGAATTACTAGCATTTTGTACGTGGCACAAATCAGAGTGATTTATGAAACGAAATACAACTATAGTGTAGAAATATATTGTGTAAAGTAATCACGGGTAATTCTGTTTTCTTTATCACTCTACTCCATTTTATTGTCCGAATAATATTTATTGTACCAAAGATTAATATAATTAATTAATTATAATAAATATGTACATATGAACATGCAGATATAAGGGTCTAAGACATCAGTACTCACGTCAGAATGCGGTGGGTGTGTGCGCGCTGGTGAGATGGGAGACGACACTCGCTGAGAGTTACCATCAGTACCGGTGCTGTTGGCAGTGCTTGTGCTGTTGGCAGTGCCACTGTTACTCGTCGTGCTTGGTGTACCTGTCACAATAACTGTTATGTTAGCACTGAAAAATCGTTTCAAACAAGCTTGTGTTGCCAGCTTCTATCGTATAAATGTAGTTAAGCCATGGAGGTGCAACAAACAAACTCACATTTGCATTTCATATTTTACTAGCTGCCTATATATATATATCTGATTCTTTTGCGGGTAAAGCCTTAAGTCAGAGGTAGTGACTCCGTGAAATAAGAGTAAAATTCTGAGTCCCACCCCACCGGAGATACGACGAAGCCGACCCGGAATTTTTGTGAGCTTATATCATTTCACTAGCAATGTTTTTATTTATTTTCTAGTTTGGGTCAAATCTTGGGTCCTGAATTGGAACTACTTGCTGTTATTAACTCACATATTATTTCAAGTTTGAAGATCTTTACGACTAGTCTAAGCTTTAGGCTCTAGATACCTAAATGAATAAAAAATAAAATGATGGACTTAATTTATTCAAAGCTTGTTTTCTTCTATTTGGTGAATTTGTATAAAAGCAAGTCTTTAAAGTATTTTTTAAATTAGTTTATTTAAATAAAAGGCTACTTCATCGCTTCATTTAATTACGATAGTTACAAAGGCTTAGTCGTGGAAAAATAACAAAAGTCTGTTTGCGTTGCCTTTGTTCGTGTTATTCTTTGACAGTGGACAACATCATCTTATTAATCAAATTATTTGCATTGTCTAAAAATATATAGTGCAATAAACTTCAAACTGAAAAAAAAATGCGGAATACATATATAAAACATAATTTACTCTGTTTTTTTTCCCCAAAACTAAAAAATCAGGATTAACGTGGAATTAGTTTACAAAATCGGTAGTATTGCAGTATAATATTGAATGTGGATGGGTAGAGCAGAGATGATAATAATAAGAAACAAGAAAGAAAAGAAACAAAATTTCGAGCCTTTTAATATGAGGACCTCTTAACCTTTCGAGATTGTACGCCGCAGGCGGGGCTTGTATAATGGCATTGTCGACAGCAAAGTTCCGCAGGGACCCATTTCTGTGAGGTATAACACAAAACCCTTGAACAGGAATGCAAACCACAATGGTTGGGTAGGCGGGGATGATCTGTACATCTTGAGTCCGTAATTGTCAGTATTGTAAGGCTTTGTAGCGACGACAGCGAGCTATGCTGTTAAAAACGTGAAGTGAAGCGAAACTATCACTTTAGTTCTTCCTATTTATTTTATGTAAGAGTGATCTCTTATCTCGATGTTGAGACGTTCAATGTAAAAATACCTTAACTCCAACGAAGATTGCGATTAACCAGGATTTCTAGAGGACTTTTCTACAACCAAATTAAACATTTAAAGAGGGTAGTCTATTGTTAAGTACGGTCCTTGTGTAGACTTTTGTATTATTGGAATGTCAAAATATATATTGAAGCTTAATAGCCTTATGTGCCAAAATTATATAGGCCATTTTGATGAAAAATGAAGCTTTCTATACTTGTACATATCAACTTTGGGCAATGAAAATTTGGAGTCTTAGCTGTGCTCGTTTGTTCAAAAATTCGTATAAAAAATCTCTTCACGCAACAAAATATTTAAAATATATATAAGTATGCTCTATTAACCTAAACAAGTAGCGTGTTCCAAAAACCTTGTTTGAAACTAATCAGGAATTCAAGGAGCAGGATTAAACAAATTGAAGACCCTTCAGTTCGGGGATCGATTAAAAATTGGTATTCCCCGGGATTATTACCGACCCTTCACGGATTTACGATTTCCCCGTTACGTAATGGAGAAATTGGCAGACATGTATTAATAATATTTTATTTTGTTTTACAATTTAAAATTTATTCGTAATGACTAATTTAACAACAATATTGCAGGTTTTGTATTATGAGTTTGCTGCTGTCAAATTGTCATGAAACTGACTTAAATAATCGAGTTTTTAACTAAATGTAATGTTAATACTGTTTCCGTAGTTAAATAAGTAATAATAATTTATCATTTACTGGTAAAAATGAGGTTGCTTTTTGCATAGCAGGCTATTACTATTGTTTTAGTGGCTCACGATAAGGTAAAACAGTTACCCTGTAAAGCTAAAAAGTAAAGTAAGTATATGTCAAAAGTTTTTAAGGCGATTGTAGTTAACATGGCAAAAAAGTTTCTATATCAGATTTTTTCGCTCTTGACAGACTTTCAACCAAAATAAAGGCGGTCATGCTTGTAGCGAAGGGGATTCTTCTGTGAGACCCTTCTTAAGAAGCGTGTTTACACTATTGTTGTTGCAATAGAATTTAATGATAATTTTTTGACCGATTTCAAAAATAGAAGTAAATGTTTTTTTATGTTTGTTACCTTAAGAATTATTTGAGAGGGTATACTTGTCGTTTAGTTGCATTAAAATTTAAAAAAAAATACTACGCGTAAGGGTAAAAGTAAGGATTGAGGAACATAATAATATTTTCGGACATCTAACAAACAACGCCATCTAGTTTTAAACTAAGCAGGGCTTGTACTATGAAAGCTAGATTGACTGATAGAATACTTAGAAAGTTTAAATATAATTTATTATTAAAATTCATCATGACGTAGACCAATTGAAATTGATATCTTTCGTAATCTTTACGAAAACAGACGTTAACATAACACTATTATTTTATAATACTCACACTTGTCTCAGAGAACTTTTATTAAGAACTCTTTTAGAATCTTCTGATAATAAACCGTTCTTTTCTTTTATAGGGTCTTTAGGTTTTAATGAATCTTCAGTTCAGAAGTAGTTAGTACTTTTGGCTTTTGTTTTTATAAATTGATATTTTGTACTTACTGGCATTGTCCGGTGGCGGTGGTTGGTGGTGGTTTTCGGTATGCCGCCGCAATGACCGGGCATCACAGTACGATTTCCCGCAACCATCTGCTTTGCATTCGTACGGTTTCTTGTTACGGTGTGTCAACATGTGACCATTCCTGGATCAAAGTAAATATTTATTGACTAAATTGATAGACCTGTTTAATATTTTATATCGCATTAGGTTCTCCTGACTACTGAATAAATATTATAAGTATTCAGATTAGGTTAAAAACAACGCAAGAAACAGTACTTCTTATTTGCATTCCTGTAGAGTTGGAACTTGGCCCTCGTCAAATACATTTAGATAAACACAGAGCATTACTAATGAATTACTAATGAATGATGCCATTTTTTTTTTTACAACTATATTTAATGAAGATGTTCTGTATATTGCTTTTAAGAAACGTGTAGGCAGTATACCATTAGTATTGGCAAACTTTGTCATTCAATATTTCTGAATGGTGAAACACTAAACCATTTCTGGTTTTGTATTTAAAAACAATGCCATGCTAGAAAAAATTGAAAGAAAGTCTCACACATTAATGTACATACACCATCCTTAGATTCTGTCTATACAGTACTAAGTATCTCGAGTACTAAATTCAAATTCCCACTCCGGTATGCTATAGAACAGATATTTATGTACATATTTACGATATATGACTATGTTTATACTACAGCTTTAACAGGTTTAGGAAAGTTACAATGTTACTAGTGCCAGCTACTAAATTGGACTATAGGTTTTGATACATTTAAGCTTCTTGCACACGACCTACAAAGTTTGAGGGCAAACTACAATTGAATTTAGTATTCAGTCATAGTCATGTATCTATAAACCATATTGTTAATGGAACTGATGACAACGTCATCTTCATCTGCCTATCCTTATCCCAATTTTATTTGGAGTCGGCGCAGTAAGTATGATTCAACTATCATACGTCATCTCACTGTTACCTCCTTTCCTAGCCATACCGCCCATACCCTAATTCACACAGTCCATCCATCTTTTCTTTGGTTTTGTTTTGGTTTCTCTTGTACCCTTTAACTCCCATACCTAACAATTTCTTGGCCAAATTTTTCTCATCGGAGGGATGAGAAAAATTTGGCCATACCATAACATGTCCATACCAAGATAACTATTACTTCCTATTACTTCTTTACTTTTCATCCAGTGGCGCTACATTCAGACTCCCTCGATATACTCATTCCTAAACTAGTCCAATATTTTAAGGATATGAAAGATTTTACTTTAAAAAAAATCGTAATTGACGTCATTGAGGTCAATTACGATTTTTTTAAATTATACTTAGAATTTTTGCGTAGCTTTTTCAATTAATAATGCAATTAATAATGAATTAAACCTTCGAAATTTGTAGTTGAGAGGCCTTATTGGTCCATATCTATTGTGTCTGTGTATAGTAATCAAATTTTAAACAAATATACTTAATAATAAGTAGAAATAAATTGATAATTGGACAGCACCGGCAGAGGTCTGAACCAATATTTAGAAAGTTCAACTGCAAGCTTTGGAACCACGTTGTATTTTAACTCACATATTCAAAAAAATATTTATTTATTGTTATTGTTTAAAAAGACAAAGTACGCATTAGGAATGTATCCTGTGTCGCGAGGGACTTTACAAACATACATGAAATGGGCATAAAGAACACCTAGACACAGAACAACAATTTGTGAATCACACAAAGTGTCGTCTCAAGTGGGGTTTGAACCTACAACACTCAGAAGAAAGTGGCGTGGCGACCGCTTAAACCACTACGTCATCCGTGCAGTCATTTATGAAGATGCAAGTTGTACTTTAACTTAAGGGGATCTTAACTTTAAGTATTTAAAACACATTTTCAAATTTCTACTTACAGATGGTCTTGCCTCTTGAACGCCTTGGCACATGTGATGCATACGTACTTGCGTTCATCGCTATGTGTAAGCTTGTGTTTGGCTAGCGCTGATGCGTTACCGAAGATCTTGTTGCATACCTGTAACAAAAACAATAGTATTTAGTTTAATTGGCAATAGTCATCATTTTAATGGGACTCTGCATCATCATCAACAGCCTTTAATAGTCTACTGCTGGACATAAGCCTCTCCTTAGAAATGAGGTTTTGGCCTACTATACCACGCTGGCCAGACGGGTTGGTATAGGGAGCCACCATGGTCAGATGGTCGTTCCGGCTGGAGACTCCACGCGCTGGCTTCGCCGCCGTGGAGGCTCTCCAGCCGGTCATCGCCGAGTGGGCAGGGCGGCAGCACGGGACCCTTTCCTTCCGGCTGACGCAGGTGCTTTCCGGGCACGGTTGCTTCGGAAAGTACCTGTACTCGGTCGCTAGGAGGGAATCGAGTCCCGCCTGCCACCACTGCGACTGCAGTGAGGATTCGGCCCAGCACACGCTGGCGGTTTGCCCCGCATGGGCGACGCAGCGCCGGGCCCTCACTGCAGTCATCGGAGCAGATCTCTCGCTACCGGCCGTAATTCGCTCCATGGCCGGTAGCGACAGTTGTTTTACCGCGGTCGCAACCTTCTGCGAGGAGGTAATCTCGCAGAAGGAGGCGGCGGAGAAGGCCCGGGAGGACGACCTCCACTCGGACCCGATCCGCCGCCGGCGAACCGGGCGGCGGAGGCCCGCCTATCACAGCCTCATGCCGCCCTGAGTGTGGCCGCGGGTGGACGGGATGGGTTCTCCCCTCCACCCGCATTAGTTTGGCCGGCGGGCGGAAGTTTGGGGGCGGCGTCCGCATGTGCCGGACGTCGCCTAAAAAGTGAGGTCCCGGAGACGGAGCCCGCACCAGGAGCGGGCCGGCGCTGGGAGGGGTCCAGAAGGCGATAACTACCTGGACCCCTCCTAAACTGGAAGCGCAAAGAGGGCACACCGTGTGGTTTTACTCGGTTCGAGTCCGACACACCGCCCCGCCGAACGAAAGCCCCGGCGGGGTGACGGTCCGAGGGGATTTCCACACGTTAAAAAAAAAAAAAAAAAGGGTTTGTGTCAAGTTTGCCTTCTCTCTGCAGTGCTGTTGTTCTGCGTAATTTTTTCCCTTAGTCGGCTCTTACGACATCTACGGGGACACTCTGTATTCTTAATCCGTCACCACACGGACTAGTAATAATAATATAATTAATGGGACTAGTATTTAGTAATCCTGACTTCATGGGTTCGATTCCCACCGGGAACAAATATTGTGTGAACAGTACGGTCATTTGTTCTGTGCTTGTGGCGTAATTTATCTATAATATCTATGTAGTTAGAAATATATATTCTATAATAGTATATCTAACGTAGATCTATATCTACTCGTAAAATTAAAACACATACGTAAACGAGTTCCTAAGAATTACACTCCAAACACCATATGATATTATTAATTGAAAACATCGTTTGTTGTCTATTATGAATGTTGGTACAAGATGACGTCTCATATGTTGACGTGGTAACATTGAAGTAGTAGTAATATATTACTGCAATTTTAAAAGATCTTTGTATTATGTCAAAAGTTGTAAGAAAAATCTGGTGTGCTATTTTATATTACATTATCTATAATAATAACCCTATTTCCTAACCTACCTATCCATTATCTATATTAATAAACATAACCCTTAATTTTAAATTTCATCCGTTGTTAATATTTTAATAGATGAACTTAATACCTAGTGTTAGTTATAGTTAGAAGTAGTAAGCATTTTGGGTATAAGCCTCCTCCAACCTTTTCTACCTTTCCATATCCTTGCCCTGGTTGATCCAGTCTCTCCCCGCCACATACGCAATGTGGTCTGCCCATCTCTGCTTTTGTCTGCCGGCGATTCTTTCTCCTGATAGTCCTTTCCATTTGGTGGTCTCTATTGTCCACCTTCTATCTGAGCAGCATGAAATGTGACCAGCCCATTTCCATTTTATTGTTAGTGCATGTCTCAGTAATCTTTGTTTTCTGTCTTATCTCTTCGCTTCGAACTTTTTTTTCTTCTGATCTTTAGTATGCTTCTCTCCATTGCTTTTTGTACTCGCAATTTTTGTTTAATATCTTTGGTGATTATCCATGTTTGACAGCCCTATAGGAGACATGGCATAATACAGTTGCCCATCACAGTTTTCTTTAAACGACCTTTAAGTATTTCTTTAAACGACCAAAACTTTATCCATGTTCACATTATTTTTCTCGTCACTTCTTCTATGAATATATTACGAGTAATAGTAATACACTGTATGAGCCCCTGCAGTTGTGAATCGTAAAAAGTGTAAAACTTACGACTACGTCAATGAAGTAAAAATGAGCGGCTAGAGTAAAAAAACAAAACACTGCTCAGGTAATATACATCAAGGAAAACCGAAAGGAAGAGAAGATAATGCAGATGTAAGTTGATGTGCGATTAGAAAAAGAAAATGTGAAGGTAGCCGCAAACAGTAAGCACCAACACAAAAACCAATTTATATCATTTCTATAGCTACGAATATCTGTCAACGTCAACATTATCTATACCGCTATTAAATTGCAGGCTATTTTGTAAAAAACCGATTTGATACTTAAACGACACGGGCCATATGTCTCAGAATACTCATCTCTGTCGACACGTTTAGATATTTGTATGACAACCATCTTTGTACCTGGTAATATAATTCTAAGTAAAAGGAAATGTTATGTAGATGGGACACGGCTGTATGTTTATATCCTACCATTTAAAATGTGCACAAACGAGTCCGTGAAGATGCGTTTTCACGTAAATAGATCTAACATGAGAGTAAGGTACCGCCTCGGGCGAAACAGTACACTGTAGTTAATATAATAATTATATTAAATTGAAGCGCCTATATTCAGCTACAATGAAAGAGCTCCCAAGGCGAGTGTTGACCCTAATCTTGCGTTTGTTTCTCATCTAATTAGGACGTCTCTTCATCTCTTATCTTGTTTTTATTTGGGCTTCGCCTCTAGGGTAAGCTTATTGATAGCGCGTGTAATATAAGAATATGCAGGACTCTTTTTTTAGAGTGTGGTCATTTTGGTTTTGTTGTATACAAAAAATTTAGATTAATTAATTATTAATTTAGATTAATTATTAATTATTATTTATTAATTTAGATTTTTCATCTAAATACAAGTAATAACATTGTGAGCTGAGTGGCTTAATCTACTGAACAATATATGTATATGTCTAGCTAGTTTAGAATGAAAACTATTTACAAGAGTTGTACCTCTCTTAAGTCGGGAGTAATGTAACTTTTAGGATAATTCAAGCACAACTATTCTCAAAGGGTTTACCCGCTCTAGCCAAACGATACTCTTAACCTATTCTTGATTGATCATCGTGTGGTCTTAAGTTATATTGATTCCTACCTTTTTTGGTCTTTCGGCCAAGTACAAACACGGCGTATAATACCTTAATTAAATACCTAGTTAAACCTTTTCAAAGGTAGATTTAAACTTAGTGAACAATTTAAATAATATGTATTTCTAAGAGAGGGATGGATTACCATTTTATACAGAGGAATCAGAACAGTAGATAGAGAGAGAGAGAGAGAGAGAGAGCATTTTAACAAGCTTGATGACTTCCAATGTTTCTTTTTCTTCTCAAAGTTGTTTATCTACTGGAACAGAAGGCCACGGGTTCAATTCCCACCCAGAGCAAATAATTGTATGAAAGCAAGAACATTTGGCCTAAATCTTTGTGTAATTTATATATCTATGTGTTTAGTAATACTCGTATATAAGTAAATGTATCATATGTTTCACACCTAATCATCCCCTACATAAACATTCAAACTAAATCTAAATAAAGTCGCAGTTTTATTATCAACAGATGTATCTCTATCATGAATTATTTATAAGTACAGGTTAAAGTGCCACATAGATATACAACCGCTATTGTTCAATGTTATTATGGCCCACATTTGAATATTTTGCGTGAGCTCTTTTTGTTAACGAGTTTTTTGCTGATACTTCTAGAAATTTTGGGGTATGTTATCGTAAGAAGTCTGTTACCATGGCAGCTTCGAATGAAAAAATAACACGCCGTCAGCAGTTTGTCTTCCGGGGAATTGATTGAGGAAAATGGAGTTTATTGGAACCTGTGAGTTGTGTCACATTTAAGTTAGCCTACGTTATATTTGTCAATGGAAGGTTTCTTAAATATATTTCGTATTCGCGCACGGTCACACAACATAAGAGAATATAAACTGTAGTTTATATTAGACCCTGAATTCGTCAGTCTGTGTTTTTTTGTTAACTTTTAAACACTTTCTTAATTAAGAGGTTCTAAATTTGACTGATGTTTTTTTTGTGTAATATACACACAACACAAATAAGGACTCAAGTTATGTACTGAGTTTGGTTCCAAATAAAGTGTGGTAAATTAAGTGATCACATGAAGTGAAGTTTTGACGTGACAACGTCTTATAAATTGGTTTGCCGGGTGACACTTCAAGAAACTGCGTTACGCTCCGCTCACGTTATGCGCTCACAATGAGAGCGAGTGAGAGGCTCTCGTCCCTTCCAATCGGGCATGGTTAGCCCGCCTAAGAGCGAGAGAGACAGACATAGTCGTTGTCACGTAAAACTTTCGCCCGTATACCGACTTTACAGGCAACCAATTTTTTTACAATTTATGTCCATTGTAGACGGTGATAGTACGAGATCCCGCTGCAGGATTGGTGCGTTCATCGATTTTTTGTTTAAAACCAAATTTTTATGTTTATTTATAATTAGAAGAATATACATTTACTAGGGTGCCTATCAAAATTTGGCCGCATTATTTTTAATTAAATTATTTTTAACTGATTTTTGGTTAAAAATTTCGTTTATTTATTTTTTAAATAAAATAACGTCTACATCACGGTAATTAATATGAAGATTCTAAAAAATCACGGTTGCCGTTGCGCACCTGGCCGCACCTCTTTGCAGCCTGGTGTAAACAGGTATGATTTCGATAAATTTATACGTTTATAACGTATATTTATTAATTATATGTCAAATTGAAGCTAATTTTTTTCTA